ACTGGCCTTATCTCCGGAGAGTCAAATGTTGATACTGAGGAACAAATGCTGCATTATTGTAATTTTATTAAGCATATCTGAAAAAAAACCCACCTTATTGAATATATGGTACATGGATCAGACAGGAATGAGAGTATGTTAAAGAGACTGTCATCACGTTTTGAAAAGGCATTTCTTGTTCTGGGATATACTGTGCTAGAGCAAGTTCGCTATGTTATGTCAAGGCTTGCAGTGCTACTGGTTCCAGGAAGTTTTAAGATCCCTCTTCCCTCTCAAGAGCTCCTCAGAAATTAATTTTCCATTTCCTCATGGTCATTAGTTCAGTTTATGACTGTGAACAGGGCTCAGTCTACCATTTAAAGAAGCTACTCAGTCATCCCGATTTCTGACAAGATAAACCAATTATGAAGGTCTGCTTCTAAGTGTTAATGTAATATAACTTGCTGCAGACTTTCCAGTGGAAGTCCTTTCTTATTCTAGTTTCTAAATAATTGTTCACAGCTGGGGATTAATATTTACTTTGAGCTGTTTGAAATTCACTTTGCTTCTGTGAAGTATCATTTGTCTTGCGTGTATCTTTGTATCATTTTTTTTCCCTGTAAACTACAGACGAATGCGGAGTTTGTCCCACCGGTGGGCTTTTCGGACAAATCAGAAAGACCGAAGCAGTACTTCCTATTTGTAACTTTTTCTTCTAAGGTCCCAGCCATGTAAATATGAACATATTTACAAATTTAAGTAGATCTATTGGCTGCTTCAAACTGATGGCTAAGCACATATGTAAATGTTTGTGGAATGAAGTCCAGCTATAAGACTTTATTTCATCTGAAAGCCAGTGTAATCCGTTACGTCAGGCCAGATCTGATCTCGGCGGTGCCAGTGTAAACAAGGTGTTATTCCAGTCAGCCAACGAAATTACATTGGTATGAGTGTGCAAACTCAGCTGTAATTCTGGTGTCTCTGTTCCGCAACCTTGGACTGGGGAAAAAAAAGATGAGAAAATATTTATCGAAGTCTTCATTTTGAGCGTGTCCAGAATTTAAACAAAAAAAAAGCTAGAAATGCACCCAGGGTTACACGCGCAACGAAAAGACCTGCAAAAAAACACAGGCACAATTAGAACTGCTGTTAAATCTGTTTTCAGTGTCCTTTCTTTCTTTCATGTATGTTTGCTTGAAAGAAGGCTGTGATCCATTATCACGGTATAAAGGGAGTGCTACAAAGCCGCAACTGAGCCTGTACATCATTTTGATGACCTATAAACCCTCAAAGAGAAAAGCGTCAAGAATGTTTGCAGTGACTCATAATTACCTCTTTCACTTCTAGCATGCTAATCTATTACCTACAAAGTATTGCAAGATCATTAAAATTCACCAACAATCAACTGAGAATGAAGATCCAAACAGTAAGTACGGCACAAAGCACTTTTACTGCAATTTGGTGGGTCTTCAGTAAAGTTCTAGCCTAATTAGATCTCTCAAGTCACTTTTGGTGTTTCACAATGTAAAACCAATCCTGTATTTTTCATCCTTACGCAGCAGTGGATTTACTCTCTAATCCATAATAATTTACTGCTTCTCATTCTTCTGAATGTATTTTAGGAAAGAACTGAAGATAAGAAAAAGGTGGTTCAGCTGGCAGTAGGTAAGCTGGTGAGCTTTAGAAATGCCACTATTAATAAAACATTTGGATGCAAAACCATTCTGATTTCTCATACACGTAGGGAAGGAAGTTCAACTACATTTAAAAAACTGCGTTTCCTGTAAAGTCCTCCTTTTAGATGTTTTTTTGAGCTCAGCTTGACTTAGTCTTGGCAGCACTGACAGACAAGGTGTGTAGTTTATACCTAAAGTCTGCTGGGGTCTCCGGACTGGGTATTTTCCTGCTTTTTGCACCAACAGGGCAGAACCTGGGAGGCATCTCTGGTGATTCAAATCTTGTCAGACCTTGCATAAAATTCAGAGGCTAGCAGGCAGAAGAGGAGGAAGGGAATGGCCCCTGTTCTTTGACCTGAGATGGTTGAATATTTCATCAGCAATGGAAAGATTTCACACTTAATTGTCTACTGTGCCTGAGGGAATTTGAACCTGCACCTTCCACTTCTCAGATTTTAGCAATGAGAAACCACAGGAAGGATGCCGTCCTTCTAATACCTCCCAGTGAAAGGAACAAGTAAAAATTTGCCAAGCCAAAGAGAAGACGTGATTCAGTAGCCTTACGGCTAGATCTTAATGCTACTGTTGACCCCCTTATAGCTCTCCAGCGGACACATAAATGGTGAAACACCTGATGCCTAGCAATATAGTGATCAGGAGTGACTATTAAGGGCAATGAGGTATGCGTCCTAGTTGGATTTCCTTTGTCACAGAAACCAAATTCAGCTTTTGGCTGTGACCAGCACAGTCACTGGAGCCAGTTTGCTGAATTTGGCCACCTTCATATTGGAAGTGGTGTACATTGTGAACTAAAACGGGGCTCTTGAAAAGAGACGTTGGCTCGTTGCCCATTTTGGAATCCTACAGTGCAATGTCCAGTGTTTTTTCCTATGTTCCCCAATACTACATCTGCCACGTACCATAGTTTGCCGATCCACCCCTTTATCACCCTGTCTCCCAGCGTGACACCCGTTTCTCTTTTCTGAACACAGTGGGGTTCTGTTAGCATTGGATCCCCTGACTGAAGGGTGAATTTGCGCCACTGCATTTACACAGCAGCTTCTAAATTTAGAGACCTGGGCAGCTCCTGTAATAATAATTTCTGTTTTCTAGCCAGAATCCAGAATCTGGATGGGAATGACAAGAGACCAGAGCAAGAAAGCGATATTATCAGCCAGGAGTCTTCTGTTCGGTCCTCAACTCCCCGAAAGAATGGCAGTGTCTTGAACTTTGAATCTCCTGCGAGCAAAGGCACCAGAATACAAACCATTTCCCAGTCTGTGCTCCAAGCTGTGCCCTCAGCTGATGTCGCAAGACCTGTCAACGCAACTCCCACAACTTCAACCTCTTTAACGCCAGCTCCCTCAGTATCAAGTGTACAGAAACCAAGAAGCGATCATATCACAAACAGGCAAGACCGCTTTGGTTTTGAAATAGCATTTCTGCCAGCAGCTCCATGACACACCTGTGTTTATTTACAAGATAGCTGTGTATTCAGACTGTCTGGAGCAGTAAAACAGCTGAGGAATTTCTTTTTTAAAAGCAGATTCATTCATGGGTACTATTCAGACGCCATCTCCTTAACTCTCCCTTAACTGAGATGGGATTATAAAACTTTTGAAATGATGTAGTTGATGGAGGTTACGCACACCTCAAGCAAAGGTAAATACTAAGCTTCCTCTCAGGCATATAACTAAAATAGTTTGTGCAGGATAATGTTTCCATGAACAAGACAAACGCGGTAAGAGCGAAGGAACCCTGTGCAGAATGCCTGTGCAGGTCTAGTTGTAGGACAACCAGTTTTGGACATCAGCAGACTGATGCTTTAAGCTACCTGTTGGTTTTTTTCCAAGTGATCAGATAGAGAACAGTTCTCAGAATAATAAGAAAACAGAACGGGAACATAACCTGAGAGGTCAGCTGTCTGCTGCCTTTTCCCAGGGAACAACAAATACATCTCCTAATTTCTAGGGTATGTTTTCTCAAACTGGTCCTAAAAATTTGGAACAATGGAGATTCTGTAATCTGTGTTTGACTTCCAGAGCAATGAATTTTTTATACGTTTTAATTACATTAATATATGTGTGTATCTCAGTATTTCCTTCCTTTTATTTTCCTTCCTAAAGGTACCCAAGCGTTGTGCATGGGAGTGTGAGCGAGCTCTGTAAAACAAAGCCCTACACACCAGTGACTTTCAAAAAGCACGCTGAAGATGTTCATTCTGAGCCTCTCTTTAGAAAAGGCATTCGGCAGGTAAATCCGGATGCTCTTGGGGCAGGGGCTCCTGTTTTTGTGGGACGCAGACCATACGCTACCAGGTATTTTCTTGTTAATGAAAATGAGTCCCGCAAAAAATCGCTCCGTTCCACCTCCCGACTCCAAAGGCACTTCAGAAAGGACGAATTGGGAGACGTTATTGAGTTGTATCCACGCAGTGTCAGAAGATACGTGGTTCAAACGCCACACCACGTGTATTCCCCTCATCCCAGTGAAGATGAGGAGGATGAAGAGGAACTTGGGAGAGAATTCATGAACAGATCCCATCGCCCTCGTTCACTGTCTGATCTTCGCCCAGCACCGCGATTTTACATTGGGGAACGTGCTGACGGCCACGTTCTTATGAGCAAGGATCTAGCCAGAGTGCATTACAAATCCTGGGACGATGGTTTTGAGCTAGACCTGGACAGGCCTCCATATGCTTACAAGAAAGTGCACCTGAACTACCCTGAGCCCCGCGTGAAACCAAAATCGAAGCAAAAGCTGGAGCAATCTCTAACAGAATCTGATTCCATTTCCATTGAATCCAGCAGCGATCCACAGAACAGCAGCAACGGCCAATATATCCAGGTCATTCACAGCAAGGAAAAGTATCCGAAACCTGGGACAAAACTCACCAAAAAGAAATCAAAAAACAGCGTTGATCTAAATATGTCTGAGCCTAATGAACTGGTATGCTCAAATGTCTGAGAAGGTGCCCCAACCTGTTTGTGTATTGAACAGGTGTACGTGCGTTTGTTGTACTTGCTGTTTTGATGTCTGTCGGAATAACTACAACATAGCCTCTGCAGCAACAGCGTATGCGGCCACGCGAGGTGGGAAACACGTAGTTAGCCTCGTGTCTTACTGTTAACTGTACCTTGCTTTAATATCACAACGGACACGTTGCAAAATTTGGAAGAGAAAGTTATTCCAATTTATTACTTACTGTTATGCTATAAAAAAAACCCATAAACCCCCACCTACTGGCAAATCAAAAGCTATGTACTCGGGGCACTTTAATTAAACCAGTACAAAAATATGTCAGATGAGGCTCTCTCTGTCTCTTTGACACAGTCACAGCTAAAGATGCTTCCACTGAATAAATTCAGCAGGTAATCAGCTTCCTACAAATAGACTTTGCTATTTACAGTACAATTTATGACATCTTGACGGGCCTAGTTTGAATATGGTGTACCTCAAACAAATCAGCAATAGGTTAATTACAGAGAACAGGGAGTTTCTTTAGAGTGTACTGCATGGGCAACGGAGTTATTTGATCGTAGCAAGGCCTGCCAGCCTTCTAGATGAAATCCTAGATCTTCTATTAATTTTCTGGTGAGACTCCTCAGCCCAGCCTGATAAGCTTCACTGTGGAAAACTTTCTATCCGTGGCCTTTGAAGAACTTGCTTCATTACTCCTATTTTAACCCTGTCCTGTTTTTCACGCACCATAGCGATTTTACACCTTCTTTAGACGCTGAAGATGGCTTTTTTCTCTCACGTCACTTGGATTACACCGGGATAAAAGAACCATTGGCCTTTAGCCGGAGCTGCGCTGCCTCCTCCCAGCC